AGATTGATTTCCATTATTTAATGGATTGATCTCCATTATTTAATGGAAATCAATGGTGAGTACCAAAATAACCACCCCCCCCAAAAAAAAGAGAGAAAAAACGCCCTCTTTTGTTCCACTCGGAGCGGATAATAGGGAAAGTGCACTCTGCCATTATTGCCGGAAATTTCAAGAGCATGGGAAAAGCTTACACAGGATCAGGAAAAACTAAAATGGCTGAATTCACGTCGCTGCTGTAGGACTTATCACATCCTAAGCAAAATTAGGATTTAGGTGTTACCCGACCCAGGTGAAATTTTAGGCTGAAGTCTGATCTTTTATTCAGCTCGTCTTTCGTCTCCACCTGCCTTTACACCCCCGCACTTAGGAGGTGACAGCATCATTGGTCCCATATCCCATCAAAAATGCCCCCTGAATTCATTCATTCGATACGTATATATAGTGAGATGCATTATACATTTGCGCATTCATATGGAACGACGATATCTCGCTTCTCCAAGAACCCACAGCATTGCATGTTTTACCAGTCTACAGGATGTTATCTTTCTTTATGTTTACAAGGAAACCATTTTCCATGATTCGTGGCTCTTAGTTTTCAATAATTTAATCAACAGCGGGCCCCCTACCTTTAGGAGGGCTGCGAACAAAATTTCAAAGCTTAACTTATCACATATACTGAGTGAAGCTCATTTGGTTCACTTTATCTTCGTGTTATTTTGAGTATCAAACATCTACAGACCCCTTGAATTTTTTAAAGAATAGAGACATCGGGCCTTCTTATCTGTTGTAATTCACTTCAATGTTTTCTAGTTGATATGAACAATAAATGCTGTTTGCGGCAGCCTAGTTCTAATACAATTCTCAAAACACGAAGAGTCCGTATTCACATCTGTGCTTCCAGTTGTCATGCCAACCTTTCAGATGAGCCCAACTACTTGTTTCCATTCGGAACACCCCAAACAAAATTTGGCCCTCGGTGTTGAAGCTGCGATAACAGCGAAGGATAGACACAGGGAAAGCGCAGATCTATCGGCAAAGGCTGAGCTCCGCAGCGTGTAATTTTCGGCCAACCTCAAGTAATGACGAACAAAGCTTACTGAATATAAGCTGAGTGGGATGGAGGCTCCAGCTTAGACGGCGAGTCATTAAGACCGGCCCAATAGTTACTACAATCAATCAGGGTCACACCTTGTGCGACACCTTGACTCCTTGAAAGTGACAGTCAAGTTGCTCGTACCGAGGCCAAGTAGAAATGAGGTGGCTGAGTTTTTTTTAGGGGGGGGCATTTCTTGGGGCTCCACAAATTTGGAAAATTTTTAATATAACCTTTATTGGCCCTTCTTAGGTTGGAAACTTCATTTTGGTGCTTTCTGCAAACTTTTGGAAGGGAAAGAAAATACCAACGAAATCGCTAAATCCTTCCATTAACCCCCCAACCCCCCAAAAAAAGTTTTGTCATGGGCGGCACGCCCCCTTGACCTGACTGGAGTGGTGTCTTGTTACGTCTTTCGTAAGACATTTTATGTGGAAACCACATCAATCTCCAAGACCCTTGGAGAAAAGTCAAGTGGTAGCTCATCCTCTGGAACTGTTAACTAGAGCGCCACCAAGTCTGGGCTCCAACTCATGTGATTTTTTTCATGCCTTTGACGAGTTCAATCGGCATTTGACACATGGGGCAATTTGGAACAGGACGGCGCCGCATCGGCGCCCATTGGTGGTGGCATTTGGCGGGTCTAGAGAAGATCCAAGGGCAGACACGATCTGGGGATATGCATCAGTGAGCCACTTGCCACGGCATGTTAACCTCGTTCTCTTCTTTTCCCGCTTGCTGCTCCTCTTTGGCATGCGTCTAGAATTTCTTTCGTGACGAGAGCCGGTCATCAGGCATCATCATTCAGTCGAGCCTCATCACACACGCACAGAATGTTCATCTCATGTGACTATCATCACCCTCAAGGTTTTCTCTGCATGACTGTACACAACCTCCATCAAATTGGACAAACCAAATCTACTCTGCGCAACCAACCATCCGGGATTACTCATGTTGTGCGGTACGCGTGGGCGCTTAGAAAAATCAGAGTAACGATTTCGGCTTTGGCATTGGTGTGAAAAATGCGTGCATATACCCAAGTGGAAAACTGACCTTGTAGGCTGAGAATTCTTCTCCGTGGTTTTTCATTCCGACTTGTTACAGTTTTCAAGGTCATTGATCAATCGGGATTATTAAAAGTCATGAGACTGCCACCTCAGCTTGACAGCAAGGCGCAGTTTCACAATACAATAATCATGGCTTCTTTCCCAGTACATTTCGCAGTAAATAGGGAACACTTCAGTTAGTCAGTTAGTTAAACTTAATGCAACAAGAAATAAGTTTCTCAAACAGCTCAGGTGAATTTAAGGGCGAAGCGAGCAAATTCGATCGCAAGAGCCCTGCAGAAATGGATCATCTGAAACTCTAACCTACTACGTATCTACAGCAAGAGTTCAACATGAGAGAAAAATGCAGAGCAAAATACCCACCTGTCTCGCTATCTGGACTAAGATGCTCCCTGTTCGGTGCGGCTCCTGTGTTGGATACAAAACAACGACGACAATGGTGACAAAGAGGCAGGTTGAATTGCTAGACACGGGTATAGGGTTACAGAGCAGGAAGGATTGACCCAGCATCGCGGACACAAGACATGACATAGCGCGGGGATCTACATTGGAGCACGGTCAACTCAGGGCTGAAAGAACCTATTCTCGGATTTTTTTTGTCGACCTTTCAGCTTACAGCGACAATAATTTTATCGTTCAAACACTCCATGAACAGAAAATAAACACGATTCCCTGACATCTGACACCCGCACACTGACTTCCAATCAGTTAATATGCGTATGCCACGAATAAGATTTCATCCCTCTCTTCTGCAAAGACAGGCAGCAACGTCAAAGCCTACTGATGTCTGCCAGTGTCTGACCTTAAGGGACTAACACAGTGAAAATATTTATGTCAAATAACTGACCACATCCTCATGCAGAATCCTTTCAGGAAAGCCATAAACTCATGTGTTCACTTCTTGATTGTTACTGTGCATTTGTGCAACAAAAGCCAGTGAAAAATTAATATGCTCGAGAAAAATCAGGAGAAGCTTGCCTCTCAAGACCATGATTCCTATAACGTAGCGTGGTCTTACTAATGGCATTCACTAAATTTTTAACAATTAGTATTTGTCTAACATTAGCAAACGTGATTATTCTACACAATGCAACAAAAACATGCATCCCTCACTGAGAATAAACTCAGTAAAATGGGAGTACTGTTCTCTACATATATGCTTGGAAGTACAATGTCCATTTCCATGGTTTGATATCTGGATCTTTGTATAAGCTTTAGGTCCAATTTTTTTTCCTGTCCTTGTTACATATGGCATGCACATTTGGAAAACATCCTTTAATTTCTAATAATTAATACAGTAATGCAAATTACCTGCCAAACAAATAAAAAATAGTTTAGAGTCAATTTCAGGCCAGGTGTAACACTGAGAAACATATCACCCTGTGGGCCCCAAATTGATAGAATGACCCATCTGCCCATAAGCAGGCAGATAAATTATTAAAGTAAAAAGAGTGCTTCGGAATGGTGTGGCGTGTTAACGACAGAGGCTGCACGTGCATGATTTATTGCAGGATAATGCGCGCAAACAAGGTGAACCACCAAGGTGAATGGGCAGAACTATAAACAGTGGCCTCGTCGAGCCGGACACTTGGGGGCGCACTGCACGGCAACTCAGACTTATTGCTGGGAGGATAAGAATAAATAGGGCCTCCCATTGGTTGCTGAATTCAGTAGCCATGTTGAGGCGGGGACCAGTATCATTCTGACACGTCAGAACATCAGGTGTTGGAGTGAAGAGCCTGGCCAGGGGTCTACTAAGACGATTCCCTTTTTCAAGGGCCAAATGATCGCACCTTAAAATCAAATTGACCAGGGCTTGGTGAACAAATTTCTTTTCACTGACTCAAGAATAAAAACACTTTAGCACCATCAAACGTTGCTCAGTTTTTTTAAAAAAGCATTTCTCCTCCTTTGTCTAGGGCTGTCAAAATCTTAACACTGAGAACGACCTTGACGCTTGTCACTGGAAGAATAGACAGAAAGGCTCTTTTTAAAGGGGAAATTTTGGGAGCGTGTTAAGGCTAAATCTAATATGCCAGTGAGCTTTGTGCCAAGTACAACACGGATATAGACTTCCAACTAAGATTTTTCTCCCTCACCTGAGAAGCTGTAGCTTTTAACACGGACAGCTTTACAATAATCAGATCAGGCATCAGACATTTTTCTGTAATGGGAGGGCTTTCAGTTTTCTAGTTCCTAAGTGAATCAGCAGTGGGGGGAGGATTCGTTAGACCAGATGATTTGATTAGTAAAGAGAGGCTCCGGAGCAGCGGAAAGAGGAAGTAATTTGAAGGGAACTCAAGGTCACTGTCTTTAGGAGAAAAGAGTGAATTTGCTTAAAAGCTCTTTTTGCGTCTAAAGACTAGAGGAAGAACTCTGCGCTTTTGGTCTGTCAAGGTTTTTCAGCTACTGGGGTGTGGCAGATGTCATCATACCAGAGGCAAACAATTCATTGCCAAGGTTTCTGCGTGCGTACATATTCAAGATCGTTAAATATACACCTACGCAGATGAAGAAATAGAAAGCTCTGTCATAAATCGGACATTTTCTGGCCATTCAACCTGCCTGTCTGAACAAACGCACCAGGTCAAAGCAGTGGTGTATTTGAGTCTGTCACAAGTCCCTGTGAGTCCATAACAAGTCCATCACAAGTCCACGAGTCTTAAGCCAATTCACAAGCTATTCAAATGAGCTGTAAAAAAAAATTCCTTTGTCATTGTTCACCCTGTTACTTATGACAGGCCTTGCGATGCACTTCAGTACAATACTGGGTCATAGTGACAGAGTGGCCAGTGAAGTGAAGTAAAAAATCTCACTCGCGAAGCAGTGATGGGTGTTTGGATTTGGGGCATCTCAACAGCAGAACGCACACGGAGCTCATAGGTAGCATTCTCCCCTCTCTGTATGTTAATACTACACCTATAATAATCCTAGAAGGGTTGGCTATTTTGGTGCACCTCATGCTAGGGGAGGGGGGGAATTGTCCCATGCCTGATTTTTCTAAAACTTTCAGTACCAGTACAAATGTCAACTTTCAACTCAATCTGTTACATGATTTTGTTACAGTCATTTGAAGGTCAAGGCCAGATGTGTATCGGTCATTTGAAGGTCTAGGCCAGAGGTGTGTCGGTCATTTGAAGGTCAAGGCCAGAGGTGTGCCGCTCATTTGAAGGTCAAGACCAGACGTGTGCCAGCACCCTTGCCCTGTGCAGGGCAGTGGAAAAGCAAACATGTTTGGCTGACCTGTCTCAAAAAATGGTGCGAGAACAGAAGGTTGGATTTTCACAAAAGTGGCTTCAAAAAATGATTGCAAATGCTAAAAAAACTCAAGGTTCGGCACGTAAAAAAGAAAGGAACACAGCAAAATTGGTTGAAAATGTTGAGATGGAAGAGCAGATTCCACCCCCATCCGGCTCTTGTTAGGTTAATGAAATACTGTTTGTTTGAAGGATTGGGGCACAGTGAACACTGAGAGTTTATTGTGACTTTCATTTCCCAGAGATGTTGTTCTACCGACAGCTCGGGAGCTTCATTTGTTCATTTCACTTCCATTTGTTCATCGTTTTCCCAAAGGACAATTACACTGATTATGAAAAGAACATTTGATCAGTTTTCTCACCTTCGGCGTTCTCTGTCACGGCTACGGCTTCGAGAATGCGATTGGCTCCGCTTTCTGGAAAAGGAATAGGGAAGCCCATGAAAAAACTTGAGGAAAGTTAGTCAAACTGTATCCTTATGTGATCTTGCAAAATCCAACAGAAAATTTGTTGAGGATTTTGTAGGATTGAGGAAGGTAGAACTCAGCCACTGTTACTTTACATAGGACTTGATACCCATTGAAAGTTGAAGTATGAAGAACGTACCAAAGTGCTCCATTACTTCTCGCATTTGGTTCTAGCAGGGCTGACCACAGCTTCAATCCTTCAAAATTCTCAAGATATTTCTGTTAGGGCCAGCGACCATTTAGACCCGGTTTGAAAAGGGCCCCCCGGTATCCTGCCCTGTATAATGCCTGCCCGGTATTCAGGCTACTCCAGGCCGGTATCAGGCCTGTCTGCACGTCGGCATTTCAAAGTCCCTGACGGAAGGCTTCCCCCACCATGCTTCCACAGATGAATAGGGGTCTGAGCGGATTGGTGTAAACATTGTATAGCGCTGAAAGGTTAAAAACCACAAGCAGGTTCCTTCTGGGATAGATTACATGTACCAGTACTTGCAAACAATAGACCCCAGGATAGAGAAGTTCGAGATCAACAACCTGTCCAGCATCCCAGGCTGGTAGCCAGGCCGGTATGAAAGGGGGTTTTGCGACAGGGCGAGCTTACAGGGGGCCCTTTTCAAACAGGGTCTAAATGGTCGCGGGCCCTTAATGTCCAGGGGAATGTGGATTCTTTCTGGTAAATTAACCCTTTACGCAAAGAGGATTTTGGAGAATTTGAGGGGGTACTGTAGCAGGGTTATTAAACACTTGTTTCTTCAACCTTACCTAGTTCTTTCCCCACTGCTGCTGCGGCGACTCCGGCGACGTGGTGAACGGGATCGGGAACGTGACCTTCAGTAAAACACAACAAGTAAAGAGATACTGACCAATTTCATGATAGTCGGTGATCAGAGGCTATGGTGGGCCACATCAAACAAACCCGGCATTATTAATTTTAATTGTAAATCCCATGGAGAGCAAAGATGTATCTTTCGCAATACACAAACAACCTTAAACACAAATGCTTCACTGAGAGACACATGCATGAATCATGTTTTTGAAAACATACTGTCCCCAACAAATCAGTTTAAATATCCAGAAAATAGTCAGCTTTTCAGAAATAAATTGACAAGTGTGCGAGAAAAACATGGAGAACAAATAAAGTATCCTCAGAAATTTGGCAAATTTAGTGAATTAATGAAGAGGTACAATTAACGATTATGATCTAAATTCTTTTTTATGGAGCCTGGAACGGAAAAAAAAAAAATAAATAACGAACATAAACCAAACAGCCAAATGAATGCAACACACACTTACCAGCAGAAATTTAACCCACATTCTTTGCACATGACCTAGCCGCCCACACACAACCAACCAATCACGGGCTTCCGTCTTCCGGGGGGCATTCCAACCAATCACATATGTGTCCGGGTAAAAACCAACATCGTGTATGGTGGGGGGAAGGGGGAGAGGGGGTCAGTGGTGACCGACCAAACCGCACCACTGACCACTTTGGTGCTGCACATTTGCGTGCGAGGTTCTTGCCTTGCGGGACTTTATTCTACCATCAATTGGCAACGCTTCTGACATCATCGTCAGCCTGACACAATTTTGCCCTCAAATTTTTCCACTCATTGAGACACCATCGCTGTAACCATGGCAACCATCCAACAACTAGACCACACACCAGCCTAGAGATTATGTGTAAAATACCAGCAAATGAAAAACACAGTTCAGTTGATGTGTTCCTGAAAATTGCTAGATTTTCTCGTTACATGCACGCCAAATTGTATGTGTTTTTAAAAAAAAAAGAACAAAAGGGCAACCTTCTTTGCAAAAAGCACAATTGTCTTAAACTTACCTCAGAAAGGAATAATCATTTCATTCGAAATTTTATTGTTTGCCTCACTAAGAATAAATTGAAGTGATGAAAAAGTCATTCAAAAATGCTTGAAATTTGATTGGTTGTTCTGTGGGAAGTACAAGTTGTCTGACAACTGAAATTTCTATTCAAGAAATTTGGATGCGTTAGTAACTCAAAAACTGTTCCTGGATTTTCAGAGTATCGAACATGGAGCATTATACATTCAATGCATATGCACAGCGTATTTATGTACATAAGTATTTACATATACTAATATGTATTCTTGCCGACTACCAAAATCTTCAAGTTTTAACGTTATGTAAGACAAGAAAGCATACATATATATACATATATAAATGGACCATTTGAAAGAGAGGCAACACTTGCAAGCTCTGGCCACTGGAATGGATAACTTTGCAAGTCAGTAATGTACAAACATAAAACTTTGTACAGTATTTGGTGCTTTGATGGTGCTTTATATCAAAAAGTCTCCAAGTGCTGCACAATGTGGGCGTTTCACAATAGCGCACCTCCCAAGAGTTTGCAGCAAAATCTGTTGACCCCTTCCAAACACGCACTGGGTCCACAGATTTCGCGCAAACTCTAAGAGGCACGCTATTGTGACACGCCCGTATTATCAACCCGGCTCACTGGGCCATGAGATCCGTTAACAGGTACATGTACCAATTTCGATTCCTAAGTGGAGAGGGGCAGTTGTGATAAAATGCCTTGCCCAAGAACACAAGCCCCATGTTGCTCGAGGGGGGTATGAACCCACACACCGTTGCATGTTTATCAAACATCACAACCGCTGGACCAAGGCACTTTACTTCAGTGACAACATAAAGTGTCTTTGTGTTGAGGTGAATTCAACGTTTGCGAATTCCTAATTGAGCCTTGATGGTCCACTGGGGAACTTGACCATGGTAACTGAGCCTGCCCTAGTTACATGTAACTTGAGCTGGGTTGTGAAAGGGATCAATACACGTGTACATGACTTTGTGAGAGCAGGACAGGCATGAGAGAAGATATTATGGGCCTACAGGAAAGTTAGGATGATATAGCTACCCACCTGCTGAAGTGCCGACGGTAGCCTGACGTGAAGCGCGTGCAGTGCCGGGCGATGTGGCCCCGCTCTTGGCACTGGTAGCAGCGGATGTCCGGGTCGCGGAAGGTGGACCTGCTAAACCCCCCACGGCTGCGGTTGCGGGGACGAGCGAGGTTGACCTGCAACCGGGCACCGCGCATCGTCCTAGAAGGTGAACACGATCAGAGGTGACTCAGTTTCTTTGCTAACTGCATGTATCAGACTGAACATCATGGATGTTTTTGCAAACAAAAAGTCTTCAAATTCCCCAACTACATCTACATGTTCTCAGGAGCCAAATGGCCTCTCTGTTTGTTTTTCAATTTTTAGGAGGTACCAAGTCCTGTGTTGATGAAAATAGCTGATGGGCTGTGCCTTCCTAAACTCTGTAAAAAAAATCAATCAAAGTTGTTGGGAAGTGAAGGATATGAAAGGCTTAGGTCAGTCGGTTGGTCGGTATATCTACCTTCATCGCCTCTTTGGCTAGTAAGGTCAACCCTTTAAATAGAAAAAAAATTATTTGGTAGCCATTTGTTCCTAGTGGGGAAAATTCTAGGCGCCAGCACTTTTATGAAAGTTTAGTAATCACTTGCGCTGAATATTCGTGAACATACGTACACATGTAGTATAAATACCCTGTGTTTCCGTCGTCCATTCATGCCGTAGAATCATGAACTGCCGCTGCCCAGTGCACGTACATCACACAACTTGCAGACATGTACATGTACATTGTCCATGTACATGAGCGCCAATGAGGTCACTCCACAAAATCAGGGTTCTCGCCAAGGGGTTCAGCCATGACGTCCATAGTTTCAGCATGTTACGGAACACCATGCTATTTCCGACACTCTAAATCACAGCAGCACTCTTTAATTCCGGCATGAGCTCCGTTTCAGGCTTCATTTACGTTGCAGCAGCAAAAAAGCAGCAAAAAATGGAGCCCATGCCGTGGTTTGTAAAATGGCCCTGGTGTCCGTTTACAGTGCATCAATAAGGTATGTTTAGATCGGGAACCAACCAACACGTGCATATGATCGCAACACATGTACACTATGTACAACGAATATGGTAAGCTTTAAATCCACGATGCGACTTGCGCTGCCATTTCTACGTTTCTGGAACAAATTTTGAGCACATAATCATTTTTTCAAATTTTTACGCATACCCAAAATTGTTCAAGTACATTCTGTATCCAGTTTTTAAGCTATGGCTACTGTATGGTGAAAATATGATCACAATAGCAAAACTTTGGTCGCATTTGCGACTGATTTAGGCACTATTTAAAGCGTTGAGTAAGGGACCGTACATGTAGCCTTGTAACTATTTTACGGGCTTTGCAAATTTCTGTGCCTACAAACTCTGCCAATCTGACCCTTGGGTGTTGCCACCCTGAGACTGCAGGGCACGGCGAGGCTGGATGACGGGCCCCATAGTTCTGAGGGGTAGTAGTTACTCACTCTCCATTCATTTCCCGGACGGCGTCCTCTGCATCCTTCTTCCTCTGGAAGACGACGAAGGCAAACAGCGGTGGGTAGCGCGCCAGCCACACCTCAAAGAGTGGGCCAAACTTCTTGAAGGCCTTCTCCAGGTCGGTTCGGGAGATCTCAGAGTTGATCTCGCCGATGTAGACACGAGTCCGCTCTCCGTCGTCGCTGTTCTCCTCGTCACTGCTGTATTTTCCCATACTGTTGATACCCTGCAGTAGTGAGTGCAGATAAATATCAATCAATATTATCATATCTGATGCCTGGAAGTCAAAAATTATCTTGATGAAATGGGTCGGAAAAGTTTAAGATATCGGAATTTCTAAGTCGACTATCACAGTATCGGACAGTTAAAAAAGGTGGAACTTATTTGCAGAAGCGGATTTTTAAAGTCTCAAAAGCGGAAATCCGCCAAAAAAGAGGAAGAATCTCATCCCTGCATTGACAGTCATGGGAAATTAAAATCTTACATACATGTAGATTATCAATGACAATTATGCACTACTGTACAAAAAAAAGTAACTATAGAATTTTGAAACTGCGTTACGGTTACCGTAAAAATAACCAGTTCGTTTGGATTTTAGTTTCCAGAATTTGTCTAGCATGCCTGGTCATGCTAGCCCTGGCAACAGACCTAGCTCTACTGACTCACCAAAAATACCCTTGCTACCTTTCTTAATTCAATTGCCAAAGGCAAATTTTTGGGGCTTCATTGATATATCGGACTTCAAAATCTGTCAAAATCCGACCGTTTTCGCTCGACACATGCACGACACAAACTTTTCGATGCTTCCTCCCATTCAAATAAGGTATTTTTGGTGAGTCTTTGGACTTTTACTTTACTATATGTAACGTCGTGGAACGTTAGTATGACCAATCCCGTCGAAAATTGAAAAAGAGGAATTCTAACGCTCCACTCGGTAGAGCTACAAAAGTACAATAGCATAGGCCCTAGGCCTAGCTCTACTGAATAGGCCCTAATGCACTCTTTGAAGTTTGAGGGTTTTGCAAAACTCGTGAATCACATTTCACGCAACAGTATTAATATTTTCTTACAAATAGGAAAAAGAAAATGAAAGCATCAAACTGGCTTGGTACATTTTCGATAAAAAGATTTATAGGAAATTCAGTAGTCTGGTACCTGTACCTCTTCTATTCAATCTTGTGGAGTGGATATGGTTGACACAATCAAAACGGTGACATTCGATTAGACCCTGGACAACCCACGAGTACCCACCTGGCAGTGTTACTCACCTTTTTATCAGATGTTTCGAAACACTTCAATCTCTGGTTGAGTCTGAATTTCACAAAACAACAGGAAAATATGATTAAAAATAATGGCTACCTTTTTGTTATTCCCAAAACTCTGCAACAACTCGTGTCATGTCGTGCCAGGCTGTCTCGCGTCAACTGGGAAAAGAAGAACAGCGCCACCATACGTCCGGCGGGAGCAGCACCCCCAAATTTATACACATTACATGGTTTAAGCTTCACAAACTGATCGCGTTAATATACCTTTTCCAGAGACTTCTATCTTTTCAAAATTTCTAAAAACCTGTGTGGTAAAAGCCATCGTACTTCCAGTAACTACAGAATCCCCCCTCCGAACAAACTAGGTCCGCCTACTCTTAAAAGCGCCCTCAATGGTATTTCTTAGAACAGTGGATCGATCGATAAATTATTGATCGATAGTGCGCGTGCTTTGCACTTTCGCTGGTGACCATTAGCCGTAATTGTATATGTAACCAGCTTTAGGGTACCGGGTACCTCGGTTTGGGTATCAGTTTTCTCTGAGAGACGCGAGGAGAGCTGGCGCATTCCACATGTAAGTGTTTCCGCGAATTTTCTGCATAGGATTTCTCGGTTTTTAGTGGAAAAACTTAAAAAGTACGCCTGCCGCCTCATTGTAATTGTACTATTTCTTTCCTTCGAAAGGCAGTGGCTGCAAAGTACATCGAAACTTATGAATGGGGGAAACGATTGAAAATGCATGATGCCTTGAAACCGGAGGTACCCCGGTGGCGTACTGCAATGTGCATTAGCGAGCTCTGTAGGCCATCATACGTACACGTGTGAAACCAAACCACGGTCCACAACCATGGACACGTGCATGACATGTATGGGGCTCAGCAAACCATAGAAACTTGTCGAGTGAAATCAGGCTCCTATAACACTCGGGGTTTATATTCCTAAAAAAAAAATCTTCCCTGTCCACAATTTTGACACACGTGACAGGATTCAAACCCACGAATCACAAACCATTATGCTGTAAGTACCGCTTGACTACCGCAATTCACTCAAGTTGGCGGTGTTTTTACTGTAGATAGGCCCATACCGATGAACGGCTGCAACGCGAGTCTAATACTATAACATTGGACATGCGCAATACATACACAATCACTGTGGTTTGGCTTCATACGTGTAATTGCATATCGTATGTCTCGCTTTACAGTCACCTCTTCCCATTTCCACTTCACCCCTAACCACATCGCCCCATTCCCACTTCGCTCCATCTGTGTTAGCATGGTTACAAACCTCTTCTGACAAATGTGGAGTTTTCCCATGTAATTGTGTCTTGAAAACGGTGATCTTTGAATGTGACGTAGGTATGCAGGCCGTTGATGTCGCCATTTTAATATAATGCCAGGATGTCACCGAAAGATGGTGGGGGCGTCTGTGCGTGAAAAGTCAAGACACCCTGCACTGTGTAATGTGTAAATTTACATGTAAAGCGCCAGTCTGGTACCTTGACTTCCCACACATACTGTACTGTATGTTCAGCATGCACATGTGTAACCCAGTCGGGGGGATAAATAATTTTAAAATGTCAACTGGCTGGAGAATTTGAAAGACGTCATGCATTTAACCAACCGTGCCTGCACATGACAGAAACTACTGTGGGCCACACGTCAAGATGTCGCGCTACGAACAAAACAACTGCAAGGTGTACGTGGGCAACCTCAGTGACTATGGAAATGCCAAAGAGCTGGAGGCGGCTTTCGGTGTGTATGGGCCTCTGAAGCACGTGTGGGTGGCCAAAAAGCCACCTGGCTTTGCCTTTGTGGAGTTTGAGGAGCCCCGAGACGCTTTGGACTCAGTGAAAGGCCTGAACGACACGTGAGTATTTTCACTTGATCTAGGTACCGGGACCTGGAAGGTGTGAGAATTACTTAGTCAAGGTCGTTACATCGGCAAACAGTGTGTACCATTAATTTCCTGACTCTGAAACATTCATGTTTAGGATACTTATCATATGTACACAGATTGTAATGAGCGATGTGTCTCACCAAGAAAGATAAATTCATTGCTTCATCGTGCTAAATTCTTAAAAATGTAATGTAAGCATCAACAGAATGGAAGCTCGTTCTGTACTCATATATGATGGATTTTCGTTTGTCTTCACAGCGTGATTTGTTCCCGCCGTGTGGAGGTTGAAATGGCTACTGGGGAGAAGCGTGGCGGCCGAAACCGTGACCGTCGCAGCGGCGGGTACGGCGGCAATTATGGCAGCC